ATTACCAGGAGGGTGGCACGATGCATTCGCCTGCAAGGACTTACCTCCGTCAGTCACGACCATGGCCAAATAATCAGAACCCTCTCCCAAGCGTCAGCAAGCACCGCTTTGCCTCTGGTAGGCCCTTGGGCCGAAAGCTTAAACCCTAAACCCAAAGCCCTAAATCCTGAATCCTAAGCCTTATGGGGCTCCGAAGTGCACCCGGCGCAGGTTTTCCGGGCGGCGGACAAGCTTGGAAGCCTGCTGGAGGCCTCTGTGGGGGTTTTCGAAAATTAGCGGTACCTTGTTTTGGGGTCCTTGTAATAAGGATCCTATTATTGAGGGTACTATATTAGGGTCCCCTATTTTCGGAAACCCCCCCGTAGACAACTAGAACAGGGTTTCTTTAAAACAGTCTTTATAGGGTTCCTTTAAAACAAATATTTATAGGGTCCCTTTAAAACAAATATTTATAGGGTCCCTTCAACAAGTCTTTATAGGGTCCCTTGATCGGTTTTTAGGGTTTTCATCTGTGGGAGCTTGAATAAATAGCTGAGGCTTCCTTTGAGAGCAACGTATAGGGAATCTCAGCACTAATTGTCCTCAGTCCGGTTTCCAACTTTTTGGGGTTTACTATAGGCTTCCTTGAAGGGGAGTTTGGGGGAATCAGGGTCCCCTTCAGGGTTACTGTAATAACACTGTAAAGGTTTATAGGGGCTTGAGTATAGAAGCCGTACTGACAGCGTTGTGGGACATATTGTTGCACTACTATGCTCCGGAATATAAGTTTGTCCTCACTCCTTGATACGTATTGGCTTAACAGCGCAGTTCTCTGTGCTATAAGGGCGTTTTGTCTTGTTTCAACATGGCACCACGGCTTTTATAAGGGTCTTAGTAAGGGTTACAGGGTTCATACCACAATGGGGACATGTGCTGGATAAGTTATGTGATCACATAAAGTTATATTCCTAACCATATCCGAGTCAGTCACGATTTCGACAAAGAGCATTTTGGGTTTACGGTTTCGCAGGTTGGCATATCGGGCTTTTGACTTAATGTTTGCCGCTAAACCCCGAAATGCTAAGGTTCAGGGTTGCCGCTTCCTTAAGCCCCCAAACCCCGAAACCCTGAAACCCTCTAATCCCCGCAACCCTGTCCAAGTGAGAGCAGGATACTCTTAGCGGAGGTTCTTGTTTGTGCCCTTGCCCCGAGAGTGCATATTCTAGACGGCGGTAATTCCAACATCTCGATCCTGGCAGCCAGAATGGGACATGTTACCTTAGTACACTTAGCAGTCCAAGCTACCCCAAAGAAGGGCGTTTCTTTGATCAAGCGGCCTGAACAACTGATTGGTAGCAATACTGCTGATGGAGGAAATCTGGCACCAGTTTCAAAACAGGCAGGAAAATTGAATACCCCGGACCCCGAACATCTTGCAGCAGTCACATGGCCATGGGTGACGTCATAAGTCAGCATAAGGTGTGCAAGATTTGTTCATTTGCTTTAGGCTCCCCAAAAGATATGTATAAGACATCACACTGAGTACTTGGTGGGAATCCTATATATGATTATATGAACACTGAGCAAGAGGCGGGTTAATTTAGGCCTCGCCCGTGCAGTTTGCAATGTGCCTAGCGAGCCCGAGACCCCAGCCTTACAAGTAAAGCTATGCAGCGCCGCCATATGATCCGAATGCAGAGCCTCAAGCAGGTTGTATGGAGTCAGTTCCCTACGTATGTGTCCCCAAACCCTATAAGCCCTAAACCCCTAAACCCTAAGAGTCCTAAATCCTATACCCGAAACCCTTAAACCGTAAACCCTAATGTGACTGGGTTCGAGCAGGTCGTGACCATGCAGACAGCCGAAATTTCCGGGCATCGTGACCTCGTAGCAAGACGCAGCCTCGGCCCAGCTGTCAAGGGTGCAGGGTTTAGGGGTTTTGGGTTTAAGGCCGGAAACCCCTAAACCCTAAACCCTAAAACCCTAAAACCTTAAACCCTAAACCCCTAAACCCCTAAAACCCTAAACCCTAAATCCCTAAACCCCTAAAACCATAAA